ATAGCGGTTCCTGGTGATGGGTGTTGAAGGGCACCATCCCCAGAGAAGCCTTATTTCTATACCTATGGGTGGGGCTGTGATGTAGCTTTCAAAGATTTCCAGGGTGTTTTGGTGTGTGCTCCTGTAGGTAAGAAACGCACCCGTGCTTCTGTATAAGTGTCGTTTCTGGGCTACAATGTTCCATTGGCCAATTTGCCTATCTGTGCCTTTTCCACACATCTTAATTACTGAAGTTTTATACTAAGTCTTGACGCTCGTCAGGAAAGTTTTCCCTTTCTCTGAAGTAAGGTTTTCCTTATCCCTGGGTCTTTGCATTTCTATGTCAATTTTAGAATTAGCTGGTCAATTTTCACCAAAAAACTGTTGAGATTTTTTGATTCTGTACATAGATCAACTTGGAGACAACTGACCATGCTTTTGTGGTATTGAGTCTTCCGATCTGTAAATGTGATGGAATTTCTCCAGGTTGTCATTGTTTCACTTACATTATAAACTCCTCCATACAGGTCTTATATTTTCCCACCATTTTGTAATGCCATGTGCAAAGTTATACAAAGGACTGAGTCGATCTCTGGGCTCTGTGCCCTGTACCATGGATCTACTGGTCTTCCTACACCAAACTACCTTGTTTGAATTCTGTAGCTTTAAAGTAATTGCTCAATAAGTCTGCTATTTTACAGGGAAAGTTTTCCCCCACATCCAACACGTGGGCTGAAGCTTGCCAACCCCGTGATTAAATGATCATGGTGCATGTTTGGACGTAGGGGGCCCTGGAATGAAGTTTCTCAAGCAGGCATTAAAAATAAACTTTTCAGCCAATAGATAGCCTCAGAGTTTTAAAGTTCATTTAGATGTGGCACACCACTTTATTCAAAAGTATTTATTTCCACAAATTTTTATCCACAGCTGAATATTACAGTGACTAATACAAGCATCTTTCTATAAACAAAGGTGTAGTTTACAGATTTTTCAAAATGAAAAAATATTTTTATCAGTAGTATTTCCTCTTACAATGTTAGATTCACCCCAGGATTGGAGGTGAACCCTTTACAGAGAAGCAGTCTTTCATCTAAACATCAGTTGCTGGCAAAATGTTATATCCAAATCTGGGTTATTCTGATACAGTATCGTTTTAGAAAGTAGCTTAAATTCACTTCTGATTGCCTTTATTAGAGTTAGAAATGTCTTTAGGAAAACCAATCTTTCGTATCTAATGACCTTTATAAATAAGAAAAAAACCCAGTTCTATATTTGTCATTGGCATTAACCTCTAATTTTTCTACACCCCCTAATTCTCTAATTATGGCACCAACATGTACAAAAAAAGGAATTTTGGCTATTTGGCTCATGCAGCAAATTAACTGAGAAATTGACTGCAGAGAAATATTCTATGAGGATAAACTAAGGGGTCCCGCCCCATGCTGTCACACTGTAGTAACCCTTTAGTCCCATAGGCAGGATAGAAGTGCTTCAATTCAGGATATCCCTTGCTGCCTAGAATTAGGTCAAACGTATGAAAACAATTACATAGATGCAAAAGAAAGGGATTCTAATTTACTCACTATAATCTTAACGCATTAAAACTCTAAATAGTGGTGTATTGGTGGCAGCAGCGTTTTTTTCCTAAGGGTTCCAAGTTCCTGGTTTTGTTTTTATAAAAGCCTGAAAATTTCATGGTATAGGACAATCAAGGGAAGAAAGTCCTACTGAAAGGGGAAGAACAGTATTTTCCTTTGGGTCTACTCTGCTCTCCAGGTACCATACACCTCACCGCAGCTATGACGATCCAGGGAGAACACATGGCTGTTGTCAGCTCTGATTATTAATAGGTACATCACGCACACTTCTACCAGTAAGCAGAGAGGCGCCCTCTTATACCTAAAACACAAACTGTCTATAAATATTTGATTCTTGGGTAATCTTTAAGATGCTGTTTCAAGAGACCAATCAAAACTCCACCATGATGTCCAATGTTAACATTCTTCCCACGGCAACACTTATTCCAGAGAAATAATTGGGGACTCAGTTATCTTAGTAACTGCCGAAGGCACATGGTGAGAGGGGTGTCGACTAAATTTTAAACAGTAAAAAATAAAGACAGCTATCTAGTGCAGAGTTCAAATCTTGATGTTGAATTAAGTTACATTGAGTCATTGATTTCATGAAGGTGGATAATGTTTAACTTTAAAAATGCGAAAAATAAAAATGCTAATAAGTGATTCAAGTTTCTCTGACGATGCTCCTTCCAGTCTCCAAGTGTTAAATAGGGCCGATCGAAACATTAACCGATCACTGTATTTCTTGTCAGTGCTCTATAAAAGACCTTTTTTTTTTAATTTTTTTTTCAACGTTTATTTATTTTTGGGACAGAGAGAGACAGAGCATGAACGGGGGAGGGGCAGAGAGAGAGGGAGACACAGAATCGGAAACAGGCTCCAGGCTCTGAGCCATCAATCAGCCCAGAGCCTGACGCGGGGCTCGAACTCACGGACCGGACCGCGAGATCGTGACCTGGCTGAAGTCGGACGCTTAACCGACTGCGCCACCCAGCCGCCCCAAGACCATTTGTTTTTAAAGCATACATAAGTTAAACATAGCTCCAGTGAAATCTCTCTTCTGGAAAAGAACTTAATCTGCCATTTCTTGGACTAAGTAGAGGACTATTCATAATGCCCCACCCCCGGCTCCCGCCCTGCATTTAATTGCCAAGCTTTTATTCAATGAGTCCTTGGCACCTAGTGATTAACCAGTGACAGCAGAGGTAGTGACCCACAGGGATAGAGAGGAGGAGGATGTACGACAGAATATAAGGACAGTAAACCATTGCTTTTATGGAATCACTGCCCTTCAAACTCCTTAACACACTCTAAACAAAGCCATTTGGGGCTATCTTGAAGATTAAGGACAGTCCTTACGTGAGAGACTCCGTTTTAAACTAAAGTGCAGCAACAAGCAAATTATACTTAATAAACTTTAAAAAGAGGTAGCCACAGACCTAGTAGGTTTAGACTGGCCTTCCAAAGTCTTTGTGGGCGTCAGATGAACTTAAGCGTACTGGGCCGAGGGTCAGGCACGGCTCTGCAGATAGCCAAGAGGAGCATGTTTACTGCAGAGGGGTCACGCTGGAGACCCGGATTTGGACAGGATGGTCAAGAGTCTTCGCCCAGGTGCTGGGCCTTGTCCTACCCCAGCAGCCGCAAGAATGGCAGAGAAAGTGGAGCCGAAAGGGCACAGTATGCAGGACCATTCAGGGCTTGGAGTGTGTGATGTTTCTGGGAGCCTTCCTAGTTGCCTGGCTGAGTAACAGGGGTGGGTGTGTGTGTGTGTGGTGTGTGTGTATGTGTGTGTGTGTGTGTGTGTGTGTGTGTGTAGGGGGGATGTTCTACCTGCAGTCCGGAGAGTCTATCTTCCTCAGGGGGTAATACTTCTCCTTGGTTTTGCAGAACAGATGGTGTTTGGTCATGGGAACAGCATACTGTTAATCTACTAGAAATATGGAAAAAAATCATTAAAAAAAAGTGGGCGTGGAGAACTATGCAGGGTTTTCTAACCAATGCCTCCTTTGAAGAGGCAAGGGAAAAACCAATAAAAGCAACAAAGTCTGTAATACTTCACTGAATATTCTTTAATCCTTTTTTTCAAAGCAGAGATATTTCCGATGTTTATGTGTTAATTTAAAAAAAAACATTGAAAATAACCTGAAAAGGGGACATAGGTTATTCTCACTCTTTAAAAAGAGCACACACACATACACAAACCCAAAGAACTTGGGTAATAATAATCCCTGATTTTAAAAAGGTTTTTTTAAAAAGGTTTTTTCAAATAATCCAGTTTTCAAGATGAATTTTTCCTTTACTATTTTGATCATCTGGAATTACAGTGAATTATATGATGCTCTTATTGGAAGTTTTATGGCATTAAGGGCATTGCAGGCTTTCATATGAACTTGTTTGGTTTTTAATCTGTAAATAAAACTTGGTTTTCTTTTCTAATATTTAGCTTATGCACATTTTCATTGGACTAGCATTAGAAGCAAAGAATATCTTTCCATCTTGCTCACATTTTAAGTTTGGGACCATAGCATTTGAAAAAAAAATTTTTTTTTTTAACATTTATTCATTTTTGAAAGTGTGTGAGTAGGGGAGGGGCAGAGAGGGAGACACAGAATCTGAAGCAGGCTCCAGGCTCTGAGCTGTCAGCACAGGGCCTGATGCAGGGCTCAAACTCACAAACCGCGAGATCATAACCTGAGCAGAAGTTGGATGCCCCCTTGGGACCACAGCATTTTTAGCATTATTCCTTCACAAACCCAAGACTATGCAAAAAGGGTTTAAGCACATTAGGGACTGAGTCTTATAGTTTTGCTTTCCCAGTACTCGGAATGTTTCATTGGGAGGTCAGTTACACCACCGTCTCTGCATCACCAGGCATTCAAAATATTTTTGACAAACTTCTCACAAGGCCCCTGTATTTTTGTTCTCAGAACATCTCCCCACAAACTCATCTGCACCTGTGGTTTGTTGACCTGGAAAAATGTTATCCAGTATGCAACAGTTTCAGGGTTATTAGTACCATTATTTGTTAAAAGTCCTCTGAAGGCAATTTATGTGATTTACATATTTTTAATATTCTTTTACTTTGGGCATTCTCCAGTTATATGGAAAGATCAAAACTAGGCAGTTTCCATTTTATAGATTGGCACCTTTTATATGGCCATGGGGACTGCTTGGTGGCTGTAGATTATTATAATATGAACTCATTTAGACTGAAATCATATACTTAAAAAAACTGTCCATATTTCAAGTGTTTTATTCTGAGTAGTAGGTACAAAAAATAATGACAGATGTGTCTTATTTCGTATAGTTCAGCACTCTGTGCAAGTTCTTAGTCTCTGATGTGATCCGCTTTTAAAGATTTAATAGATCCTTGAATTTACTTTACAGTATGGATTTCCTTCTTGCTCTCATTGGAAATGGAGCCAAAGGTGGGAAGGTGCCTTGTCAGACCTCATTGAGGAACTCCAGATTGAGATATGCTGGGATGTGGATGGAGTCCATGGTCAGAGAGGATGGGTTAAATGGAAACAACACTGGAAACATGTGCTTGAAGTCTAACAGCAGTTGCTGAGGGTCATTCCGCTCTTGTAGTTGTGCCTGTGGGGAAGAATGAGACCATGTAAAATACTTAAAACACCTAAAGATAGCCAGTTTAGGTGAACTCACAAAAGTGAATTAGCGTGTATCATGGAAATATTTAACACAATTAGGTTGGGCTTTGGGAAAACGTGGCCTCCCTGTCCCTGGGGTTATTTGGCAGGAGAGGAGCCCTGTTGTAGGCTTGTTGGAGAGATGACTTTAAGCTCTCCCCTAATGCTAGAATAGAAAAACTACATTTCAGGTGCAAATCATGTGGACAGGTACTGTAGTGAAGTGGTTAAGACCGTGGGGTCTGGAAACAGACAGCCTGAGCTCTGATCTGGTACCACCCTGGGCAAATTTCTGAACCTGTCTACACCTTAGTTTTCTCATCTGTAAACTGGAATGGGGAGAGTGACAGCATATAAAATGGCAGAGTGGGAAGCACTGGGGCTCAGTCCCTCCATTGAAGCAACCATTGAGCTGGAGAAAGCAATTGCTATCAACTCGCTTGGAACTCTGGAAACTGACTGGACACTTACAACGAGCAGGAGTATGCCTGATGAAGGGGGAGGCTGTTATGTTCACTAAGAGAGCAGTATGTATGAACCAGCCACTATTCCCCAGTCTCCAGCCCCTTGCAGCTGTTGGGGGAGAAGCCCACACTCCTGGAGAAGCTGGCCAGTGTGGCAGGGCAGGCAGTGGAAGCTTGTCCTCCAAAAATGTGGGGTTGTGCACTTGTTGGTCTGGCATTCCCTGATGGACTGGCACAAATGCCTGCCTTGATTTTGGCTTCTTTGGGGAGACGGTGGCTTCCCCCAGTGGCATCAATTGGAAGATTTAAGCCTCTTTCCTTTCCCCCTCTATCTGCAGCCAGACATTTTAGGAAAAGTATAATGACTGAAAGGAAACTTTTCAGTTTACTAAAGGGGTTCAATAGCAGACTTGGGCAGGCAGAAGAAATGATCAGTGAACTTGCAGATAAGGCAACTGAAACTATCCAGTTGGAGGAACACATAGAAAAAAGATGAATAAAAGTGAACAGAACCTGAGGGACCCGTGGGACACCATAAAGCATACAACGTATATGTCACAGTAGTCGAGAAAGAGAAAAGAGAAAGGGGAAGAAAATGTCTGAAGAAATAATGGTCAAAAATGTCCCAAATCTGACGAAAGACACCCCTCTCTCCCCCCTCCAAGAAACTCAACAAACTCCAAGCAAGATAAAAAAAAAAAAAAAAGACCCAAGTGGGATCAAAAAGATTCACACTGAGACACATCAGAGTCAAATTATCAAAGCCCAACAACAAGGAGGGAATCTTGAAAGCAGCAAGAGAGAAAGGACTCCTGCATACAACAAGGTGTCCTCAAGGAAGATTATGAATGGATTTCTCATCAGAAACCATGGAGGTCAGAAGGGAGTCCTGAAAGAAACTGTTAACCAAAAACTCTACATCCAAAACCATCCCTCAACAATGAAGGGGAAATGGAGTCCTTTCCAGATAAACAAAAGCAGAAGAAACAAAAGAAAGTCCTACAGGCTGAAATAAAAGGGCACTGGACAGTAACTCAAAGCCACAGAAGAAATAAAGAACATAGGTAAATGTAAAAGCCAGCAGCGGACTTTTGGTTTGTAATTCCTTTTTCCTATACAGTTTATACAGATACAGAAAACAATGATAAATTTCTGTCAATGGGAACATATGTGGAACACACGTGGCCTGTGACAATAACAAAATAACGACAGAAGGACAGAGATGGGTAGCAGTGGAACTCGCGTACTCCTGAAACTGAGTTGGTATTATTTAAATTAGGTTGTTGTGGGGCGCCTGGGTGGCTCAGTCGGTTGGGTGTCCGACTTCAGCCCAGGTAATGATCTCGCGGTGAGTTCGAGCCCCGCGTCAGGCTCTGGGCTGACGGCTCAGAGCCTGGAGCCTGCTTCTGATTCTGTGTCTGTCTCTCTCTCTCTGCCCCTCCCCTGTTCATGCTCTGTCTCTGTCTCAAAAATAAATAAACTTAAATTAGGTTGTTGAGAGTTTCAGATGTTAACTGTGATCAACAAGGTGACTACTAATAACTAAAAAAATATATATACAGAAAATGAAAGCAGGGAATCAAAATGGTATACTACGAAAACCACACACACACACACACACACACACACAGGCAGTCATGAGGAACATAAAATCTAGGCAGGCACACAGAATACCAGTAGCTGCATGTCAGATGTGGTTACTGATGGAGTGCACATCGTGTTTAGTACATAGGATGGTGTCTGGCACTAGGTGAGTCCCATGTTTGCTCTGATCTTTACATGTTCCTTTGTACCTTCTGCCTGTGCACATCCCATCAACCTCTGAACCGTGAACCCAGGTGCAACTGTACTTTTATAAACGCTGCTGAGACTGGTTCACTGAGTGCTTCCAAGAGGAAAATCAACACAGTCTGAATCTGTAAAAACACAGGTCGTCTCCTACGAGCTTCAACTGTGAAAGCTTTCCCCCTTGTTAGGAAGCCACACCCATTGCCTCAGGTAGTGACAACATTTTGACATGTTGTAACTTTCTACAGGTTTCATTATTTCCCCGTTTTGGATAAGGCTGAGGATGCTGATCTGCTAAACTCTCCCCGCATTCATTAGCACATCACATCTGACTAACGCTCCTAGAACCTCCGGTTTTCTAAAGCCTTCAAGCAGGGCTGAGGTCAGTAATAACGCAGTAGTGTTTGAAAAGTGTTGGGAAACAGGTTTCTAGAACAAAATCAGTGTGGGCATAGGATTGAGAGGGGATTCTATGGTGGCTGTGGAGTGCATAAAGGTGTACCTACATGGACAATGAATGGAAAATGCTTTCAATTTCCAGCTGTCGATTTAATTTTTTTTAATGTTTATTCATTTTTGAGAGGTGGGGGGAGGGAGGGAAGGGCAGAGAGAGAGGGGGAGACAAAATCTGAAGCAGGCTCCAGGCTCCGAGTTGTCAGCGCAGAGCCCGACACGGGGCTTGAACCCATGAACTGTGACATCATGACCTGAGCCGAAGTTGGACGCTTACCTGACTGAGCCACCCAGACACCCCCAAAACCGAAAATTTTTGATAGTATTGCCAGCTACTGAAATTGGTAGCTGAAGAAGACTCAGAACCTGACTTGGATCTTCAGAGGCCATCTGCTCAACCTCTGCTGCCTTTTGTCTGTGCCCTCAGTTCAAAGCCAAAGTCTGACAAGGCAGTATTCTTTGACCTTTGGCCTGGCTGCTCTCCTAAACAGTGCCTCTGTCAACAAGCAGTTCCAGCTCTCCCTCTGATGTGTGTGTCTTAGATATTTAAAGCCAAATAAGACTTCCTAAACTCATACTTTGGTTCGTGTAAATTATCATTGCCCCATAAAAATCAGCGCTGAGTCAGACAGCCCAGTAGCTTCTCTTCTGTCATCAAACTCTTCCTCTAATTTCAGTAGCTGACTACAGCTGTGTCCTAACTGGATCTTTCCACATCAGTGTCCCTGCCTCTTGAAATAGCCGTGTAGGTCAAACCTCTGTCTGCTTTTCCCTGTGGTCTGCCTGTCACTACATTTTCTCTCCTGCCCTTGGAAGAACAACCTTCTATCTGACTTGGCTTCCCGCCCTTGACCTGCAGGCGTCTGTTCTCTACTTATACACAATGCTGGAGTTTGTTTATTTGCCATTGCTGACTTTCTCTATCCCTGGATCTCTACAATGAAATGCTGTAAGGTGCTCTGAATAGAACCCCAAGTATACGTCAAAGGGAATAGCTTCTTATACCCCATGTCTTCTCAAGGTTCTTCAGTGTCTTTGATAAACCCCGATTTTAATCTCCCTTTCCTGACTCCTCTGATCATTTGCCTCCATTTCTTTTTATCTGTGTTTCATATGTTGGTGTCACTTCACTAGCTAAAGAGGTTTAGAGGCGTGAGAAAGTATTGTATCTCCTCAAGATGTTCCCCATTTATAACAACAGGAGAAACTATCACTGTTTTTGAGTCATCTGGATGTGATTCATTATGCAGATGCTATCAGCCACAGTCACACATAAAAATTAGGCATTCAGCTCAAATCCTCTATGGCTCAGCTTTAGGAAGCTCATCAGCAGGTAAAAAAAAAAAAAAACCATGAATTCCAACAGATTTATTTTTTTTATTTTTTATTTTTGAAATTTTTTTTCACGCTTTTTATTTTGGGACAGAGAGACAGAGCATATGAACGGGGGGAGGGGCAGGAGAAGAGGAGAGACACAGAATCCGAAACAGGCTCCAGGCTCTGGCCTCAACCAGAGCCCGACGCAGAGACTTCGAACTCCGGGACCTATGGACTGGCCGCTGGAAGTCGAGGCAGAACCCACAACAGGCCTCACACGATGATTTAAATAATCATTTCCCTAATATATTTTCTCTCAAGCGTATTCCCAAGGGCAAATATTATAAGTCTTAGAGACAAGACTAAAGAGCTCAAGTTGTTTTCTTTTTTTAATTTTTTTTTTTTGATTACAGTAATTATTTGTTGCGGGAGAAGAGACCAGGAGCATGAACAGGGGAGGGTCAGGAGAGAGGGAGACACAGAATTGTGAAATCAGGCTCCACAGGCTCTGAGCTGTCAGACACAGGAGCCCTGACGCGCCAGAACAGGACGACCAGATCGTGATCCTGAGCCGAAGTCTGCTAACCTGACCTGATAGAACTCAAATTGTTTTCTTAAAAAATATTTCTTAGTTCGGTTCATGGGTGGGGCAGATATTCTGCTTACTTTGTTAATTCTATTTGGTGCTATAGTTCAGTGAAGTGATAGTGGCAAATAATACTTAGACTAGGTCTAAAATCTGAGCAGAGATGATAAAAGTTAAGTCTTGTGTGTGTGTGTGTGTGTGTGTGTGTGTGTGTGTAGATCATATATATAAAGTTATTTATAGGTGATATGGTTAGTGTTTACCTAAAGGGAAAGCCTAAGAATGTAAGGTTCTTTGGCATAGAATATAACCAAAAATTTATTAATAAAGAGAAGCAAGGCTAAAACCTAAACTTTGATTTCCTTTAGTAGGTTTAGACCAAGATTTTATAAAATTGATGAAGATTTTTAAAACTCACCTGGATTGTTCGTATAAAGGCCACAGTTACCCGTTCTTCAAATTCATTCAGGGGAGTATAAAGGTTTAAAATTTTGACAATCTGTTGGAATTAAAACAAAAGCTTAGCACAGAGCTAAAGGAACAGAAGATGAATTTTTAATTTCAGAGAATATAGGACATCGGCACAAGAGCACAATCCCCTTTAGACAGGACCCACAACTCGGAGCTGGAGCGACACCTGGGAGTCTTACACTTAATAAGCTACAGTCCATAGGTTTTGTTTGGTAGATCTGAACACTCTTACTGGATTCCTGCCTCCTATATCCCCACCCGCCCCTCTAGCTGTTGCTTGTAAGATAAGGATTCTAGGAAAAGGTTGCCTGAAATCCTCAGCTGTTTTTTTTTTTTTTTTTTTTTTTAAATCCGCTGAAGCTCACCTTCCAGGTGAACCCCAGATTTTTTAAAAATGTTTTTATTGTTAAAGAGAGAAAGAGAATGCACACACATGGGGCAGGGGCAGAGAGAAGGGGAGACAGAGGATCTGAAGCAAGCTCCACACTCAACAGCAGAGAGTCTGATGCTGGGCTCAAGCTCATGAACTGTGAGATCGTGACCTGAGTCAAAGTCGGATGCTTAACTGAGTGAGCCACCCAGGTGCCCCTGAAATCCTCAGCCTCTTATCTAGTAGTCATTTAAACATTTCTTTTAAAGAATACTGGACATCTTACCTTATATAAGGTGTGTGTGTATGTGTGTGTATGTGTATATATATGTATATACATATATACACATATATACATATATACACACACACGTGTGTGTGTGTATAGGGTATCTACCTCTCACTACCCCCAAAATCACTTACAAAGGAACAGATTTTTTTTCCTATTTAACAGGGGATAATCTCCTGTCTGCCTACCAATTGTCTAGTGGAAGTAGCCTGCCCAAATGCAAAGCAATGTCAGTTGAATTCTAGAAGTAAACTTCTGAAAGCAAAATATTTTTAAAAGGGGGATAAAGTTTGAAAACTCTCAGTACATTTATGCCAGAAGCATTTTTCTTAAGAGTCTGGCATTTCATCTTTTTAGCAGTTAATGGGGGAGATGAAGAAAGGTGTACTTACTTTACAATACAGTTTGGATTTTGTTCTTTAGGTATTGGATAGGGAGAAGGTGGTGCATGATTTACCTCAGAAAGTCTGATTTCCTTGTGCTGATCTCGTTTTGTGAGGCCACCATGTGTGGGCAAATTTCCAAATGGGCACACCATGATGGAGGACAAGACACCATGTGTGTGGTCCAGATTTATCTTTTGATAGACTGGTAACAGCTCTGCAAAGGAGTCCTGATACAAATACGACTTGGCCGGGGTAGGGCAGGGAGGAAAGGCACATTCAAATGTCTCTAGGTTCCTAATGACTACTTAAAATCATGCTAATGGATTCTAAGTGGAAACATGACCATAATGAAAGTAGAGGTGTAAAGAAAATGATTTAATGCCAAATGCCTGATGCTGCCCATTTCTAAACAAAAGTTAAAATTTCTAGTGAGAAACATTCTAGAATAGTGTTTTAAAAATGTTTTTACCTTAAAAAATGAACCAAATTAAAAAAAATAGGGACTCCTGGATAGCTCAGTCAGTTAAGCATCTGACTCTGGATTTTGGCTCAGGTCATGGTTTCATGCTTGTGAGATTGAGACCCCGGGGAGACCCTCCACCCAGTGTGGAGCCTGCTTAAGATTCTTTCTCCCTCTCCCCCTCCCTGGCTTGTGTGTGTGTGTGTGTGTGTGGGAGCACTTTCACTCTCTCAAAAAACAAACAAAAAGCCAAAAAATAACAACCAAAAAATGTTTTCACCCAAGCTTACTGTTTTGTGGGCTTACACTATCTTATCTTTCTAAGTGACCAAGAGGGACTAGAAAGTTACTGGCGGAACGGTGGCATCTTGTTTCAAAGACCAAGGTGGTCTTTACTTCATCCAGGAAATCCCATCCACTGCACAAATAACCCACTGTCCAGAACGGACCTGGAAGGGAAGGTCGAGCGCCAGAGCTGGCGGGGTAGCCACGGTCATACCTGCTGGGTGCTGAGGGAGGTGCACAGCGAGCAGATGGCCTCTGCGTCCTCAGGGGTTTTCTTCTTTAACTGTAGGAGCTGGGCTGCTTGGATCAGAGGTTCCATGGTCTGGACTGCTCCGCTCTGGTGAAGGTTTCTTCCCCGAAGCCACTCTTCAAGTTGACTTATATTGTACCTTAGATACAAGGCAAAGTGAGCTGTGTTAAGCCAGTCCTCCTAACTCACTGGGGCGAGCACACCTGTTGTGTTCATTGCGTGGCCTAGTTGCCAACAGTGTGATCATTCTCTTCACCTTCATTAGCGCACATAGGCAAAAGCCTGAAAAGCACCTGGCGCTCAGTAACATTTTGCTGAAGGAATAAATGAACGGGTGCTTAAAATCAAGCAAAAATGAGGTCCCTGAAACGTCTGTATAAGTTAATAGGAAAATGAAACATCATATAGGTTGAATTAAAATAAATGGTACTTAACAGTCACAAACATATTTATGCTTCTGTGTGAGCCTTCGTGTCTCAACTCATTGATTTTTCCCTCTGACGTATCCATGTTGCCTTTATAATCTTTAGAGTATATAAATGCCTCTCAAGCATTTAACTCATTCGTTTACCAGGTCACCAACTCCGTGTTGTTGAATTCCACCAACAGATGACAGGTGATGGAACTGAGTCACATACTGACCGTCACCAGTTAGATTTGGATTCCACTTTCAGAGACAAAGGCCTCGTGCTCGACTCCAGCTGGTGCGTGCGGGCCCCTCCAACAGTGTGGCGAGGGCGAGGCGCAGTTCTCCTACCTGAGCTGCATGCCTGTGCTCCAAGAGCAGACGTCCTTCCGCAGGAGCAGGTTGTTGAGAGTCACAGCGTTGATCATGTAGAAGAGCTGCTTGAACACCTGCAGGATGATCTCCGGGTCCAGGCCCTGGTCACACATGACTGTGTGAAAGGAATTCATCTGGCGGATGACGGCTTCCAGGCAGTAGGAGTTGTCCCCGTCCACCATGCTGGAGGAGCGCTTGCGGTAGCCTGTTGGCTTCACACCAGACAGACCCTGAATGCTCTCATTTTCCAACATGGCAGAAACTGAAAGAAAAGCAGGATGAGAGAAACTTGCAGGTTTCCCAGAGACGACCCATTTTCGGACCACTCAGATCATATGGTACTTTGGGCTTCGGCAATGCCACCGTCTACCGGCACACGATACTGACGTGCTCGGAAACTGAAAGTATTTAGCAACTGAATTTCTAATGTATTTCCACAGAGAAATCTTGGATCAAATCTGTGGACCAAATTTTCACTTAAGCTTGTTGGTGATGGGACAAAGATAATGGGCATGTAGCTACTCAGTTCTGTACTGGCTTCTGTGAGGGATCCAAAGTTGAGAATTGGGCAACTTGGGTGTAGTCCTGGTCTACCCACTGACTTGGCCCTAGGCCCTGAGATCGTCCTGATGTTCAAACAACTCTTTGATATGAGCCGCTGACCATATAAATCTTAGGTTAGCTGGTCTGTCATACTGCACAATGTTGAACTATGTGCCAGCGCTTTATGCTCAGTCATTTCTATCTTCCAACAACCCGTTTCCTGATCAGGAAATCGAAGCCTAAGGAAGTTAAATTACTTGCCCAAGGTCACAATGCTAGGAGTTGGCAGAGCCAGGATTTGAACCCAGGTACGGCCAACTCCAGAACTGGTGCTATTAACCATCCCGTTATTTTGAGTCGTGAAGTATTCCCAGTTCTCCCTAAGCCTGTTACCTCTAAAAGATAGCCCTCTAAAAGGGATAAGGATATGGAATGAAACATATCCTAGAAGACGAATTTCTGGATGGCATGAAGGACCCTGTGCTACTTGGAATTCACCTACAACCTATTTGTGTTTTAAGGACCTGGGGGAAAGCTTTACAGCATAGGTCCAAGGAACAATTTCCTCCCTGGCCTTTATGGAACACACGGAGTGATGTGTGCACATGTCATTTTTCTCGTAACTTATAAAAGGATCACTCTTATTTTTTCAATCTGATTTCATGTGAAGTGTCCAGCACACTGTTTTGGACAGAGTGTTCAACATTTATTGCACCAATGCTTACTACCTTGTTCTCTCGCATGTGCTTGCTTTTTGTCCCACAAATAAAGTATACATGTGGGCACGAGGCATATATTTTTTCACCATATACGCATTTATTTATACCTTTTGAATTTATATTTATCACCTATGGAAGATTTCATAGCTCCGAGCACACAGCAAACACACACCACCTCGCTGCCTTCGTCAGGAAGGTCCTGGTTTCCTGGAGGCCACGCCTAAGATATCTGCTTCCCTAAAAGCAGGCACGTTCCCCATCATTTCGGACCCCACGATGAGTGCTGGAGATCGCCTGCTGCCACCTTACCTATCATAGGCTGCAACACACCCTCGGCGATTTTAATGAGTTGCTGGTAGATTTGAATGGAAAGGTCACTCAGCACCTGGCGGTATTCAGTGAGGTCAAAGTTCTTAAGACAGTGCTCATTCTGCTTGGCAGTATTCTGAGTCATGAAGCCCTGCAGAGACACAGAGGGGGTACTTTACAGAGGCTCAGTGGTCTGCTGGGCTCAGCAGGACTTCTGGGCCTCAGGTGACTTTCATAATACCTTGTGGGGCCTTATCAGGCTCTACTAATAGGAGATTCCACAAGAACCTGTCAAGCTTCTTGAGGCCTCAGTCATGACCCTTGAATTTGAAGGCAGAGCAAAAACTCAGCATGATAGATAAGTCGGAGTTGCTTAATTTAAAAAGCCTAAATCATTTCGTCCACCCACTGGGGTGGTAATTTCCCTACGGCAGCAAACCCAGGTTGGTAGCAGGTTTATATTTTTTT